CAGTGAAAGCTGCTGTATGTGTTATCGGCTGCTCAAACACAACCACACACACACACACACACACACACACACACACACACACACACACACACACACACACACACACACAGTGTTTATATGGAGAGAAACTGTCATGAATCAGCGACTCACTGATCTGAGCTGACTCTCCCGGCTGAGGTTAGCCAGCGGGTATGTGACACCTGTGTGACAGGTCCAGGTGAGCTGTGCTGTCATACTGCTGCAGCTCAGGTGTGCAGGATAGCACCTGCTCTGTCAGCTGCTGGACAACATATTTGCAGCACAGGTCGTATGGGGTTAGAGTTAGTGGAATAAATCACACAAAAGTTTACTTTTTTACCTTTACCCCGTCAGTGGGCGGAGCCTACAGTCTGTGACTCACCTGTGATGTGTTTCAGCCAAGATCCATGCTGATGAACTGGTCGAGGACATGTGGTTGGGCGTCTCAGTAGCCAGTCAGGGCCGGCCTGGGGGGCGTGTCCTGGTGAGTTTGTGCTCTGATTGGCTGATTATTTTCCTATTGGTGAGAAGTTAAAGAACGGCGTGTTTGCTCTGCAGGCATGCGGTCACCGCTTCACAAAACTCTATGGAGCGTTCAATTTAAGGCAAATGATTGGCCACTGTTATCTCCGTGGAAACGACCTGCGGTACGACGAGAACGACTCTAATTGGCAGGACCCCGAACAGTCCTGCAGGTATGTCACATGACTGCACACTACAGGTGATGAGTGATGCTCCGCCTCCTCACCTGCTGCCTGTCTGTATTCAGTCATCTGGGTGATTTCACTGGTGAGGTCATGTGCGGGATGGGGATGTCAGCGGCCATCACTCAAAGCGAAGTCATTGTTGGCTCGCCTGGAAGCTTCGAATGGCAAGGTGATTCTATTCTATTCTATTCTGATGTTTTTCTTCCTTTTCAGAGCGAGCATCTCAGCTCTGTGAGCATCTAATGCAGTTCATGGTGTGTGTGTTGTAGGAAACGTCCAAGTCTCCTGGATGAACCCTGACGATGAGTTTGACACCAAGAAGAGCTCCTTCTCCAACCAGAAGCACAGGAACATCTACATCGGTGCGCCGTCTCTTTAAATAGCTCATTCAGATCTGAGCTCGGTCACACGTGTCTTCCTCAGGGCAGGACAGTATTTAAATCAGCTACATGAATGTGCCTAAATAAGGTTTGCAATGAGCACATGCGGTTTGAGACAATGATTTAATGAGGGTGGAGCAGAGGGACGGTGTCCTGTAGAAACGCTAATGTTCCTCAACACAGAGCAGAAGCTCTCGTCAGGCTTAGCTTATTGTGAGCAGTGTTTCAGGTTTTTAGTCACACGCTGACGCAGAAAAGAGTCCATAGTGAAAACTCTCTGTTTGTGTGTCTTCATTCAGAAACGCACGCGTCAAACCGGCTTTCATATCGTTCAAAAAGTGTAATTCTGATTTCTGCAGGAAGTGTTTGCCGCCACAGGTGGCTGTGAGTCCGGCTCTTTCCTTTGACTTAAATAAATACCTGCAGCCTCACAAGCTAAGTGCAGAGTTACGTATGTGGATGAGCAGCCGATACTTTGACGTGCGGATCAGTCAGGATCTGAATCGTGCTTTGTGTTATTGTTTTACGTGGCAGACTTATTTTAATGAAGCAGGTCTCCTCTGGATCAGTCCTCCATCGGTCTCGCATGTATCTATCTGTCTGTGTGTCACAGAATTCAGCTGCTTTTATTTTGAAATTTCAATGAATTTTCAGACATGTATGCTTTTAATGGGAACCTTTCCTACATTTAAAGAATTGAAGCTGAATGTAAAACGTGTATTTGTGCAGGATATTCTGTCGCTCAGGCTCCTCGCCTTCTCTCTGAGGATGATGAAACCATCGTAACAGGTGAAGACTTTTCAGCTAATCAGGAAGCAGCTGGTTGACCTGTAGATTTACTGATAGATGTGTTGATTGGTGTGTTGTTGAATAGGAGCTCCTCGGGACCGTATGGAAGACGCTCATGGCTCGGTGCTGCTGGCCGTCAAGCGCTCTGATAAACTGATGATTCGCCAGAAGCTGCGCGGTCAACAGATGGGCTCGTATTTTGGGAACGCCTTGGCAGTTACTGACCTCAATAATGACGGGTGAGGAATGGTTTATGGGTCACATGACCCGCACTGAGGCAACACGGTCAGTACCTTTAGTAAAATCTTCTGATGACAGCGACTCAGTGGGAACCACAGAGCACCATAATCTAAACCTGAGGAACATGTTTCAGGAACACTCCCTGAGCTGCTTTTTTGTCCCACAGGTGGAACGACCTGCTGGTGGGCGCTCCTTTTTATTTCCACCGTCAGACGGAGGTGGGCGGGGCAGTTTATGTCTACGTGAACGTAGGAGGGAGGTTCAATTCTGAGCCCAGCGTAGTGCTGAAGGGGCCGGCGGGGTCGGCATTCGGCATGGCTGTGGCCGCTGCAGGAGACCTCAACCAGGACGGCTTCCAGGGTGAGGGCTCAACGTGATGCTGGTGTTTTCGTGATCAGTAATCAGTAGTCATGGTGACGGGTCTTTGGTTGTTCCAGACTTTGCCATCGGAGCTCCTTTTCATGAAGCAGGAAGTGTGATGATCTGGACAGGAAGCAGTGAGGGCATCTCTACAGAGCCGAGCCAGGTCTCACAAAAACACGGTCCTTTCTATGTTTGACCCACATTCCCAGGACACAACTTTCAAACCAACTCTGAACCATCAGAGTGCAGACATGTCCTCACGGGCCAGACAAGTTTTGCCAGTGATGGTTTTTAAATTGGTGTGCAGACACACCTGTGACCCCGCCTCCTCCTCTGTACAGGTGATCCGAGGCAGCACGGTCTCCCCTGTTTTCGGGACTTTTGGCTACTCCCTTTCTGCAGGCGGGGATGTTGATGGGAACTATTACCCGGACCTGCTGGTTGGTTCTCTCGATGATACCGTTGTTCTGTTCAGGTACCAACTTCTGCGCTAAATAGTGCTCATCTAAAGTACATTTTGAAGTCCTCAAAGTACTGAACATTAGCACTTACTGCTAATTAAGAGCTCAAGAATAACTAAATTTATGCATTTATTAATGGACTGATGTGTTGATCCTCAGGAGTCGACCGGTCATCCATTTAAATAAAACACTCAAAGCTTCTCCGACCATCGTGGACCCAAACAGCTGTGACTTCTGGTGAGATTCAAAGCTACCATCAGCTAACATGCTCACAGACCCTCAGTACGGAGGTGTTTTCACACGATAACATGCTAACAGCTCGACTCTCTCAGTATACAGGTGGAAGTGTGTTTCTTCTACATGTTCAACAGGGGAGAGAAGAGCGACAGAGACAACATCAGTGAGTCAAAGACAAAAAAATGTACCCACATATTAAATCTGGTCATGCTAACTTCTGCGAAGGTTGGAAGGCTGGGCTGGAAGGTTTGGCTCTGTGGAGGAGAGCATACGAGTGGCCAAAACAGGACTGCAGGGAGATGTCCGTGAAGGATAGCTGAGCCAAATTAAACCAGGAAGTATTGTTCAGACGCGGTAGTACACCTGTAACATGCTATGTCTACCTGGAAGGTTCAGAATCAGTCCCGTTTCATTAGTTTTTGATGGCGTTTGATGCAAGAGTATTTACATATTTTTCCTGTTTGCTTTCCTTCTCCGATGCCCATAGCTGCGGGCTTCCTTCAGTTTTAGCTTAAGGATGCATTAACCCAACCTTCTGGCTGTAGTTGCTCATTATATCCTACCAGGTGCCCGTGTGCCAGTAAAATCAGTCATAAACTGTTATCTATCAAAGTAAATCATGACCATTCCCAGTTTTCCCAGATTTGGCTGTTGAAAGATGAAGTCATGTGACTCATCCAAAGTTCACATCCCTATGGCCTGCTGCAAGAGGAGGTGCTGCCTTCAAAGCTGAGCTCACGGCTGGATTAACCTCCAACAGGTGGACTCTCACTGTCCATCTCGCATCACTTTCAGCACCAGCAGACAGAAACTACGCAGCAGGATTTTATCAGGCAGTTGAGCGAGATGGTGGAGTGTCAGCCCACCAACGTGTAACCATGGAAACAGCCCGTAGTGGTTTCTGACCTGTAGACACACACCTGGGTCAGGTGACCTGAGGTAACACCTCAGGAGAGTCTAAGCGAGCACAGCAATCGACCACACTGCCACTAACAAGAGGTTACAGGCTGGACTTGCTAATGACATCAACTTCCTGTGTGTGCGTGTGTGAGTGTGTGTGTGTGTGTGTGTGTGTGTGAGTGATTGACAGGACACAGCTGTCAATTAGATCCAGTTTTTAATCAACACACACACAGACTCTGAGCGTGTGTCCTTATTGTGTCTCGTTAACTTGACCAATCAGAGCTGAGGCCACACTGTTGCTATAACACGCCTGTACACACACGCACAGATGACATCATGCCGTGTCCTTGTGTGTCCTCTTGTCCCCTGAGTGATTCTCTGAATGATAAATCACATTAGAGAAACTGATATTATTACATCTGAGACTCTCGCTCTCTCAGTGTGTGTGTGTGTCTGTGTTTGCTGGTTGTGTTAATTTGACCAATCAGAGACAAGGTCACCCTCACTGTGTCTCTGGACCCGAGCGTCTTCTGTCTCACAGAGAAGCTGATAACTGTTAACATGTCGACTACACACAGAAAGAGAAGACCAGAGTCCATTCAAGTATTGGCTAATTTAGCATTGGTGTGCAAATACAAATATATTGATAAACTATTGATAAACATGTGTAAAACCCCAACATTAGTCAGAAGGGAGTTGTTCCTCCCAGCCACTCTGCTAAAATAATAATGATAATACATCAACTATACGTTTATGAGAATGCATCAGTTTCTGTGTAATAACACTATTTTTGTCTGTATGTATGTTTATGAATACAGTATTCTTTTATTCTATTAAATAACTTAAAAATGACTGACTGAAGCTTTAAATATCCATCTTCTACAGTATGTCAGCTAACACTGCTGGAGTTATTTTCATTTACATTAAATGAAACTGATATGTCCCACCAAAGGTGATGTTGTAAAAGTAACTTCGGATGTGCTACCTGGGCAGTGTATTCATTTAAATTTAGTTCAGCGCATGTTTTTTAATCTAAGCTACTGAGTGTGGCTGTCGACTCCCATGATCTGATGCTGCCTCACAATGTCGTCAAGCCTTTGTTTGAACATGTTTGTTCTTAATCTTTTCACAGAGAAACTAAAGTATCAGAAATAAAATGTTGTGTATTGAAATCCAGTCTAAAATGTAGATTATCTTTATCTATGAATTTTAATGTGGAGTTCCTCAAGGATCAATTCGTGGTCCTACTCAATTTCATAAAAATCTTGCCGGAGTTTTAATAAAACAGTCTTATATTTTAGATGTCTGTGAAGGTTCTCAGTCAACCAGGTCATCGTAGTCACCCTGTCATGTGATTTCCTGAGGTCAGATGACCCAGGATGTGAGTGGGCGTTAAGGTGTCTGGGGAGGGAACTCAAAACTGGATTGAAAGAGGATGCCAATGTTCACATTTTGGACAGAGAGGACAGATGGTTTGAAAGAGGAGTGAAAGAAGCATTTATGTCCACTGTGAGTGACCATCTTTGAACAGAGGCGGGGGTTTACGACACCAACTGTCTGCCATCTATAATCCAGTTTTGAGTTCCCTCCCCAGACGCCTTAAAGCCCACCCAGACCCTGGACTCTATTAGTGTCTGTCACATGTCAGGGTTAAGGAACAACAAATAAATCACATCACAACCTGTGATTATCTTACGCCTGTGTGTTTTATATTTGAACCCTTATCTTTGTGTCACAGCCATCCTCTTCACACTGACAGCTGACATCACTAGTGTCAAGCCCCGCCTCAATTTTCGTGACAACGGGCAGAGCGTGTACTCTGATTACCTGTCGATGCCGCTGGAGGAGTGCAGGACGCTGAGAGTGGGACTGCAGGTGAGACAAACACAGGCATAGCACCCCCTACAGGGTGCTGAAATCTGACAAGCACGTCCACTGACACAAAACATTTAGTGTCGATGTGAGCGGCGAGTGTCGGAGCTGTGTCACGGTTTATTTAAGACTAGCTCACTCTGAGAATCGTCCCAAACCAGCACACCACATAACGAGAGCAAAGACCAAACGTGGTCCTCCAGTTCTGCATGAAAAAACTTAAATTATATTTTTTCCTTTAATTAGAGTCAGATGAAGGAAGTTCTGCTGTGTGAGATATAACGAACTGATTCTGATGATCAAAGTCATGATGACTTTCTGCCGCCATGTTATTCATGCGGCTGCTGACAGACTCCACATCCTGCTTCTCAGCCACAGCTCAACAGGAAAACCACAGCGAGCATCTGAGGTGGTGTGTAGGCAGGTGAAATCTCTGCAGGTCGAAGCAAAAGTCACGTTCGTTCATGTCTTCGGTTTGTGTTTCTGATCGCGTTCGCTCAGCTCTCGTCCTGTTTTCACTCTGTGATTCTGTTTCAGTCTGTCAGCGAGCCTGCTGTTTCTCATGCTTTCAGTCCACTGACTCGTGTTTACTTCACATTCCTGCTGATCACCACCTGCTTTCAGCCTGATTTCCTCAGCTCCAAGTGGCCAGTTCACATCAGTCTGGCTAGACAGATCCTGCAAAGAAGCTCCTGCAGTCCACGTCATGTTGGCACTGAGCTGATGTTCAGTTTCTGTGTTCTTATGTTCTGAAGAGTGTAATCAGAGACAAAGTGGAGCCTCTGGTGTTCTCCTTGAATGCCTCCTTGTACGAGAAGTTTCCCAAGAAAAAAAAGAATGTGCAGGACCTGAAACGCCTCCCGGTGCTGAGTGAGACCCCCCAACCCATCAGAACCCAGGTCAGAACCCATCAGAACCTTTTTATAGAAAAGCCAAACTCTGCTGGTCTGACCGATGCTGTCCTTGTCCCTCAGATCCACATCCAGAAGGACTGTGGTTCTGATAACCGCTGCCACAGCAACCTGCAGATGACAGCTCGGTTCACCGATGAGAGCCAGAAAGCTTTCCCTGAGTGAGTGAACAGAACACACACTGCTCAGCCCAGAGTCCAAAAAAGATGGTTGGACAGAAACACTCAGCAGGAAGCATGAGGTCATGTGATAAGAAGCCAATTTAAAGGCATGATGAAGCAGATAAGAAGCTCTGTACTTCACTGGAGTTAAAATCTTTGTTATTATTTATCATTATTTATTATCTCATTTATATTTGTATACCCAGAAATCCACTACACTTGAAAAAGAAAATGAAGCAACTACACGTCTGAGACTAATCATTGTTACAGCTGTACACTCCATGATTCAGCAGCTTCAGACCCTCCTTTAGCAGCAATAAGTTGTTGTGATTGATTTGACCAAACAGCATGTTATTAATTTGCATGAATTTGTTGTCGTTGATGGTGGAGCCAATGAGAATCCATAAGGAATAGAATTGATAAGTGATATCAATAGTGAAATCGAAATCGCTAAATTCTTATCAGTTCCCATACCTGGGCGCACCATGTGAACATCAGTTTCTATCATCGAGTGTTGTCTTGTGACTACACTCGATGCTCCAGTGGATACATCTCTGTGGAGCGAATCACTGGAAGCCCCGCTGTTTCCTCCTCCTCAGAGTCAGCATTAAACAGCCTCACTCACCCCGGGTCACCACTGACGATGTCAGTAATGGTCATCAGTGCATCCCAACACAAACCCAGGCAGTATTCTTTTATTTTATTAAATAACTTAAAAAATCACTGACTGAAGCTTTAAATATCCATCTTCTACAGTATATCAGCTAACGCTAATGCTGAGTTATTTTCATTTGAATGATATGAAATTGATCAATGAAATTGATTTAGGAATGTCCCCATGCTCTGTTTCAACCAATGCTCCGGGCAAACCAGGGTTTGGTGGACCAGAGTCTGTGTGCAGCCTGAGTCCATCGCACACCGACCTGTACCCCCTTGGCACCTTACCGGCACACTGAATGTCTCTACCAGACTGGGTGAGGGTGTTGGAGCACTTTTTCCACCTCCATCAGTGGGTACTCCTGGTGCATGTGTACCGGTCATCTGCACCACCAGCATTGCTGTCCCAATCTTTGTGGGACTCCCAGTAAGCAAGGTGTAGCGTCCACTGTCGCCAAGACCTGTGGTGACAGATAGAGGTTAGTTGGAGATTGTTGTTGCTGTCCTTAAGCGGACAGTCGAAACGGGGAAGTGCCACGGGGCCTTCTTCTTGGGGCTGCTGCTAGCTGGTTCTCAGCCAGTGTCACAGCGCTGCCACGGGTTTCTAACACTTCAGTCTGGCACTACCACCATCTCTGCCAGTGCCCCCTCTCCTGGATGGGTCAGGGGACTGACCTTGTCCTGCTGGGCAGTTGAGGGCCACTGTAACATGTGTTAGTGTTTCACAGTGTTTTAATTACAAGGTGCCTTTCAGGCGGATGTGCTGACTAGCTCAGAATGTTCCTTTTACCACATTTGATCCCGGTGCAGCTGTCTGCTCTCAGCTCCTTCCTTCTCCATGTCCTGGCGTGCTACTGAAATAGGGCAGAGCTGGCCAACCTTGTCTGGCACCTCCCCCTGAACCCACAGACCACATCCCACTGCAACCACTTACTTGATGATTGACTTTGATATTCCACTTACTTCCCTGAAGGTGTTCTGCCAGAAAGCCTGAAGGCCAGTGTCTCCTACTAACTGTTAGGTACTGAGATATAATGAAAAACAAAATTCAAATATTTCACTTTTAAAGGAAACTGTACAAACATTAAGAATAAACAATAACAGACAAAAGAACAGAAGACTGGCTTAGAGTCTGTGAGTTACAACATGGTTAGTCTGTCAGGTGATTATTAACTAAGACAGCTGCTGAGGTTCGGCCGATGTTTGTGTTCTTGTGTGTTTTCAGGCTTGAGGGTACTCAGATGATGTACTTCAACTCCACCATCAAGAGGCTGTTTCTGGAGGTTAACATCAGCAATACACCATCAACAGGTCAACCAGCAGAGGATGCTCACAACACCATTCTGAGCATCAGCATCCCACCATCACTTATCTACTCTGGAGTAGAGACAAAGGTAGAGCAGAGCTCCGACCATCTAAAGTGGAACACCACGGTGACTTTGTTAGAGCAGCTGTAGGTATTACAGGTACTGTGCTGCAGTGGTTTGTATCATATCTATCTAATAGACTCCAGTTTGTGCATGTAAATGGAGAGTCCTCTTCACACACTGAGGTTAATTATGGAGTTCCACAGGGTTCAGTGCTAGGACCAATTCTGTTTACATTATACATGCTTCCCTTAGGCAGCATCATTAGAAGACATAGCATACATTTACACTGCTATGCAGATGACACCCAGCTCTATCTGTGCATGAAGCCAGATAACACACACCAATGAGTTAAACTGCAGGAATGTCTTAAAGACATAAAGACCTGGATGGCCGCTAACTTTCTGCTTCTTAATTCAGATCAAACTGAGGTTATTGTACTCGGCCCTGAAAAGCTTAGAAATATGGTATCTAAGCAGATTCTTACTCTGGATGGCATTACCTTGGCCTCCAGTAACGCTGTGAGGAACCTTGGAGTCATTTTTGACCAGGACATGTCCTTCAACGCACATATTAAACAAATATGTAAGACTGCGTTCTTCCATTTGTGCAACATCTCTAAAGTTAGAAATATCCTGTCTCAGAGTGACGCTGAAAAACTAGTTCATGCATTTATTACTTCCAGGCTGGACGACTGTAATTCATTATTATCAGGAAGTCCTAAAAACTCCCTGAAAAGCCTTCAGCTGATCCAAAATGCTGCAGCAAGAGTCCTGACAGGGACTAGAAAGAGAGAGCAGATTTCTCCTGTTTTGGCTTCCTGTTAAATCCAGAATTCAAAATCCTGCTCCTCACATACAAGGTCTTAAATAATCAGGCCCCATCTTATCTTAATGACCTTGTAGTACCATATCACCCCTTTTTCTTTGTGTTTCAGGGTGATGCCTCGGCAGTGGTGGAGTGCTCTGTGGAGGGGACCTCTCTTCAGTGTGAGCTCGGGAACCCTTTCAGAAGCAACAACAAGGTAGGGAATATCACTGCTGACCCAGGGCACTAGCATTGCTGCTGTCTGTACTGCAGTAACTCTGCTGAGCTCTTTCTGATGTATTGTCTCTTCCTGTGTTTCAGGTTCAGGTTCTGATCAAATTTCAGCCATCTGAGATCAGTTTGGACACACGCGAGATCCAGTCTGTGCTGCAGCTATCCACGTACGGCCTTCACCACACGCCACTCTCTCTGTGTTTGTTGGAGGTTACTGAGTGGCATTTCTGTGTGTCTTCAGGCTCAGTGAACAGCCGGATCTGTCCCCAATCTCCGTCTTCATGGTGGTGGAGTATTTGCTGCAGACATCACTCAGTTTGTAAGTACAGATCAGGTGCACATCAGGTGGCCCGTCTGAGCTTTAAGCTCACAGCCAGGGAGGAGAATCTGAGTTACGACTCTTTGTTGTGAAATGAATCCAGACTGACAAGTACAGTAACCCTGCCCCAATGTGAGCCGACACAGAACAAACCGAAGCACAGTGGAAACGTTGACCTCAGCTCACAGCGTCAAAATTAGTAAAAAAATGATGAACATCAGCATATAGATAACAGACAGTATCAATAAACACATGCCTTACATCCATGTAAATGCTGAATAGACTGGCTCTATACTCAAAGTGCTTTATTTAACTTGCATCATTCATGCAAGCACTTGAGTGTGCTCTAGCTCACACTCACACATATTCATATTCAGATGGAGCATCTTCAGAGCAAGTTGATGATGATGAAGCCTTTGTTTGTCACTTGCAGTTCCCTGCAGTGAAATTGGACTCCTTGTACATACATTACACAATGGGGATGGTACCTTGCTCCGGTGTACCTGAGGGTAGCTGTTCGGTAGATTCAAACTCCCAGCCTTCCGGTCACAGGGCGACCACGCTACCTACTGAGCTATCCCTATGCCTTCACACCGTAACACCGTGAAAAGACATGACAAGCAATAGGGGTGGGTAAATGGGGTAAGAGTGACCCGGTGTAGACGGCAGCATCTCTGCCCTGGTCCAGTTGTGTCTGCGTGTGTGTCCTCTAGCCGACGCAGGTGGCCTTGTAGGGCAGCGAGTCATTAAGTTGGAGTTAGTATCTTGCCCAAGGCAGTCAGGGATCAAACCACTAACCTTCCAGTTAGTAGGTGACCTATCTTGTGAGCTACAGACACCCTGTACTTATATGGTTAATGGGGGACAAGGAAGTGAGGCAGGTATGAAGAGGATGAAGAGTGCAACACACTGCACTCGGGAGTGCTGGACAGGTGAAAAGAAGGGCCACAGTGGTCCACAGAAACGCTCCAACACGGAGCCACACTTCTGAGTATTTTAAATGGAGAAGGCATGGTAACCTTTCATCTGGTACCTTGACAGAATTTCAACGTCAGGCCCCACCTCCTTCAGTGGTCATGTGATCGGTGAGGTGGCAATGAAGAAGACAGAGGACATCGGCAGCCTGCTGGTCTTGACCTTCCAGGTTAGTCTGAAAACATTTACAGTTCTGCGTGACCCTCACCAGGTCAGGTGTGAACGGTATTCTCCATCAGGTGCATGTCCAGGGAAAGCCGCTGGGCCACCTGGGCACCCTGGAGGTGGAGTTTGATTGGCCGATGGAAGCCACCAATGGGAAGTGGCTGCTGTACCTCACAGAGATCCAAATAAACGGTACTTCAGAGCCTCGCTGCTCTCCACCCGGCAACATCATTAATCCTCTCAACCTCACGGTAACCACAGCAACATCAGCCTCATACACTCCTTTCAAAATAAAAGTCGTTCTTCTTTAGAATAAAGGCCAATTAAAACTGAACTGTTTACCGAAGATTTTAAACTTGTCTCTGAAAGTTAGCCTGTCTTCCTGTTGGTTCAGCTGTCAAAAGGGGAGAAGAAGAAGATGAAGAGGAATCTGGATGAAATAAACGAGGAAGAGGAGCAGACTGACAGAACTCCAACTGTCCTCCATCTTCAGAGAAAGAAGAAGCGCTACAGTCTGGTACAGACACAAGCACAGGGACACACTGTTTCTACAAGCTTATTGACAATCTTGGAGGACAGGACAGTTTTAAATGTGGGGACATTTAGGAGAGAGGACAATTTGAGGAACAATTTTGACATGTTTTAGAAAACTGAGGGCTTCTGAAGAACATGAGGACATTTTTATGAGGACGTCCACAGTTGTGTTTCAAAGTAACCACAGCAAACCGTGTTGCAGGACTGTGTCCGCGGAGCGAGGTGTGTGAAGTTCGTCTGTCCTCTCGTCAGCATGAACAACTCGGCGACTCTGACCATCAAAGCCCGACTGTGGAACTCCACCATGATCGAGGTAAAAGGGCAGCCCCAGTCTTATACCCTCATTTAATGCCCACTTTCATTCTTCTGGTTCACTTCCTGCCAGTTTAAAATGCAAGCATGCAAACATTTACCAGCTAAAGAAGCAAACGGAGACCAGTGTTGGTCAAGTTACTTGAAAAAAGTAATCAGTAACTAATTACTGATTACTTCCCCAAAAAAGCAATCCCATTAGTTTACTGATTACTTATTTTCAAAAGTAATTAATTACTTAGTTACTTTTTAAAAACATGATTTACAACCTGAATAGGTGATAAAGCGATAGATCTTTCAGCCCAATTCTACTTTTTCTGCATAATCCATCATACAAAATGTAATCAAATGTCTCTTTTTAAAACTTGTTTTATTAGTTTTAAT